CAAGTTTATACTGTATAGCACAGGGAAATATATCTAAGATCTTTCATCATGGTAGCTCACAGTGAAAAAGAATGTGACAATGAATATAGGTATGTTTGTGTATAACTGAAAAATTGTGCTCTACACTGGAAATTGACACAACATTGTAAATGACTATAACTCAATAAAATAAAATAAAAGAGTCTGATAAATTTGGGTTCTAAAGAAGAGGTTATCAGGAAGTAGTTCATGGTAAGTAATTTGGAGCTGTTAAAACCATTGAAGTCATCTCTTGTTCCCATTCTATGCCCATTTTATACTTGTATGTCTATTCCACTCACTCTTTTTGATCACTGTGTCCATTTCACAACTCATTAATGTGCTTCTAAAGGCAGGATTAGGAAGAAGACTGAAAAAATCAAATTAATTCCCCTGTCTTTTTTTTTTTTAATTATTGATAAAAACTAGAGAAGGATATAAACAAACTCTTAATACTTGAATACATTTTAAAATTATGCTTTTTTTAAAGGCCAAACGTCATTATTAAAATAATTGAGTGGTAACTGTATTTTAAAAATCACTTTCTTCTGAAATGTACAATATATATTTGTTCAAATATAATAACTATCCAAATATTTACTATCTCTGGAATTGAATTTAAGCTTTAGTAAAAATATACCCATAAATTTGGCCTGAAATTAAACTTAAAGAGTTGCAAAGCTTTGTTTTTAGGTCAGTGTTTGGAATCGAGTTTTCCTTAGAAACGTGAAAAATGGGGATTTGGTCCCAGTTTAACCAAAGTGCTTTTTAAAAAATACTGTTGAATTATATTAATTAGAAATAAAATGAGTTTTGATTTTTTGGAACAGAGGAGGTGCTGCAGAGTGGAAGAAGTAATGTGTTCTTTCCCTGATAGACAGTGAACCTATAAGAAAGCTTGAAATACATATTTTCCCTTATTCTGTACTCCTTTTATATGTTTAAATTGTTTCTTTTCTATAAACCATGGGGATCTTGCAGTTTATTGCCCCCTATACCTACTTGGGTATTGCTAGTGCCTTTTTTTCTTATTGTTTCAAAATGTTCCTATTCACTTTTTCCAAATAAACTTATATTCCTAGAGTGAAAGTAATTATATCTATCTGTTAAAAGCATTGATGCAATTCACATTATTTTTTGTTCTGCTTTTTAAAGAAAATGTTTACTGATTCATTCATATGTTTAAATAAATGAATTTTAGGATAGGAAATATTTGGCACAGTTCTCAGCCACCACCTCCAAAGTATTTGAAGTTTTTTTTTTTTTTACTGTGGTTAAGAAACCTCAGTGTCACATTTACCATAGTAACTATTTTTAAGAGTACAATTTAGTAGTATTAAGTACATTTGCGTTGTTGTGAAACAGGTCCCCAGAAGGCTTTCATCTTGCAAAACTGAAACTCTACCCCCATTACATGGCAACGCTCCACTTTCCCCTCCCCCAGCCTCTGGTAACCACATTCCACTTTCTGTTTGTATGAATTTGGCTACTTTGGAGACAGTATTTATCTTTTTGTGGCTGGCTTATTTCATCTAGCATAATGTCCTTAAGGGTCTTCTATGTCACAGCAAGTAACAGAAT